AGTAAATCCTTCACAATCTGATACCAGACACTTTCCTCTTGTATCAGTGCCCCATATATAACCTAATTGTTTTCGGAACACTGGCCCGCACATGATTCTCTACACGGTTCTCAAACTCAGCACTGCAGACCTTACAAATCCATCACTTCCTTGTTGTGGCTGGCTGCATTACACACGGAAGGATGTTTAGCAGCATCCCTAACCCCTACTTGTTCTGTATCTGTAGAGCTCCATCATGTTCCAGTTACCGCAATCAAAACTGATCCCAGACACGGCCACGTGTCTCTTGGGGAGGAACAGCACAAAATCACCCTCAGGTGAAAGCAACTGTTCTATGCCCTTGTCAATATTTCTCCCTTTATCTCTGCAGAAAATTTTCAGCCATCTTTCAAGACCCATCTTAAATGGTGTTACCTCTAATCTGAAGCTCCCTTTTAGTGAAAATTAAGTACAGTAATTCCCTCCCCTTATAACCATTCTCCTTCCTGGTTCCCTGTGTTCTACATCTCATTATTGAGATTTTATTGCTTTCAGGTGTTCAACAAAGGCTTCTCAATAAATAAATATGAGCCTTTCCTAAATGGATCCACGTGAAAATATCCCCATTACCAAGAGAAAGTTTGATTCACCGAACGTCTTACAATGAACTATACCACCCTTAAGTTCTTTTTTGTTTGCCTTTGATCCTGAGAAGCTGAAATTAAATGACACCCTTAGTTTTAGTAACCGAAAGTTTTACACATGCAGGTCTTTGATAGTCTTATATAATATCTTTGTTGCCGTTTCGCTTTTCCTTGCTGTCTGTTGTTCTTTCTTTTTTTGGCAGGCAAATGTTCTACCATTAATCTACATCCCCAGTCAACAGCTTGAACTTTGAAGTTATCATTATCCATTATGTTTTACCACAGAAGTTGTTTCGAAGTTTTCTTTGGAATGTGAATAGGTAAAACTTACAAAAACATACAAAACTTACAAATAGAAAAATAGAACAAAATGTTATACCATGAAGACTGTACTTTACGAATAAAAATGAACATTAAATAGTAAGTTCCAATTTTGATTCTCTGTTAATCCAGTATCTCTCCAATTAGTTTAAGAGATATCATAAATGTTCAAAGAAAAACTTGACTTAATTTGTGTACATGTATCTCAATGAAACGTGTATAAGCCAACACACTTTTGGAGGAAAGTGAAGAACCAGAAAGCAGGAAATATTAAACAAACAACAAAATAATAGAATGTCACACTTCAGAAAGGCTGGAAATTATTGAGAAGAAGAGACCTCCTGAACATTCTGTGCCCCAAAGCTCACCTTCTACACAACACCTTTTGTATCCTGAGGCATCCACATTATTTCTCAAATCTTAGAACTGGTCTGTATTGCCACAGCTTTAAAAATAATAGTAGCAATCTCAATTTGTAAGTACTGGCCCTAAATTTGTACTAAAATTAATAATCTCATTTAACAGCATTTCTACAAACACCTTGAGCGCCTGGGGGTTTACAAATAACTTAGGGTTAGAAGATTTATTTAGTGCCTGTGGTCAATTCATAAGGCAAGGAGATTAATCAGGAAAGGAGTATCCACCTGTACTGGACTGAGAAACTTCAGAGAATAAATATGCAAATCCAATATTCTCAAGGCTGACAAGTTTCTATTATTAAACTGCTCACATGTTTATTTCCCCCACAAGGGCTGGATTTTTGTCCTGAATGCAGTAAGCCCTTCAGTTATTAGCTGTGATGACTAGGTGACAGTGAGGACACTACTTGAGAATTCGCATTTGACAGATCATTGACACACACAGTTCCTTTTTTCCTCTCTCTGCTTAAACAAGAATGGGGTAATAGGAAATGAACAGGAGCTATTAGAGATTATTCAGGTTTAATAGCACATATCCTTTTAGCTGGCAGACAGAACAATATACAATGTGGCAGAGTTAAACAGAGGCATCAATTATACTCTCAGACCTGTTAATATTTTTGACAATATTTAAATAGCACATCCCTTCAGGGCATGGCTTTTTTGCCCTCTCAGTTACACACCTGTCAAGTGTTTAATTTGCCAAAGGGAAACAGTTTGATTTCTAAGGGCAGTCTTAATACTGAAGAAGCAAATTGCAAAAATTAAACATTATTGAATAAAAGTAATGAGAAGGATCTGAGGGAAAAACATTGCAGGCTTAATTCAACATGGCATGTCAGCATCTGTCAGTACGCAACAACATGATCATGTTCTCAGTATGCTGCATGTACCAGTGGGCATTTCAATTACGTGCTCCCTTTGGTTCTCAAGAAGACGGGAAAATGACGGAAAGGAAAAAAGGGGAAGTCAAATTTTCTAGTGATAGTAAAACAAGGTGGAAACAGTAGCTTGTACCTGTTTTGCACGTACAATTGTACATTTAAAAACATAATCTGGGCATAAGGTAGCCAATAAAAGCTAGCCAGTGCTAAGATTTGTGTCGTCTCTGGTTTAAAAGTACAAAACAAACTGTGTTCCTTAGGTGCATTAATTATTACGTTACAATTATTAAACTAGCAGTTGGTAAATCTAACATGATGAAGTCTAGAATATTTAATTTAAATGTTGAGATAGAAGATAACACAGCTTTTGAAATATTACTCTAATCATCAGGGGGGAAAAAAGCTGGTAAAAAACCAGAACTGAATTAGTAAAGAATGGAGATTCAAGTGAAAAATCACAGAAAATTTGAGACTTTGTCAACATCAAACTCTTGACTCTTGGAGTCAAGTTCCTACCCTTAAAAATGAAGAAAAAAAAGATACAAGATAGGCCACAGAGCCAGAACAAGAACAGGGCTGTACCTGGGAGCCAAGGAAACCTAGCCTGGCTCTGTCCTTACAAATAAGCCACTTGCCATCTCTGAACCCCTGGGAGAAACAGGATCTGAACTGCATGTTTGCCTTGGCCCATTTTGAGTGTTACTTTTCTCTCGTATGTGAAAAGTGATTAAGGAGACAAAAGTCCAAAGATATGTGAGAAATGCCAACATAATTCACAGATCTCAGAACTTAGTCTTAAAATATATGATTAATAAAACAATGTCATACTATATCAGTCACAGAATAGGAAGTTTCATGATTATACATAATAGATTTCCAAGCAGACTTCATCTGAGTCATGTAGGACCCAAATACCAGTAAATCCCCACATCACGAAGATTGAAGTTGCAAACTGTGACATATATGAAAGGACATCCTATTATCACAGAATTAGCTCACCAGGTCTACCTTACCATTTTAAGGTAATTGTAAAAATAGTTTATTTATAGTTGTACTGTACTGGACCTTTTAAGATAACTGTAAAAGTAAAAATAATTTATTTACAATAGTTTTGTGTGTGCGTTTGGTTTTTTAATGCTCTACTTTATACATATATATGTCAAAGGTATAAGACGCACTTTGTGGGACTTATAAATCCAACTTAAGAATGTCCTCCTAGAAGCAAAGGTGTTCATAAATCAGGGATTTAACTGTATTGGAAATGTAAATTAAACTCAATCGGTGTCTTTGTCTTCCCCTTCCATTAAACAAAGCCCACAGAAATACGCATGCCCTTCCACAAGGCGGACTCCCAGGAACTGTCACGAGTTACCCACTAGACCAGCAGCAGAGATTTTAACAGCATCTGCTGGTAGTCTTTGTTTCAACTGTCCTCTCATTTGAATCATACTTTCACTCAGTACCGTAAGCAGAAGACATCTGTTTAACTCCTTTACAATTCTACATCATAATTACACTTACATTCAGAATACTGGTTTCTCAAAAAGCTTACCAATCCATTCTGAAAATCAGTAATGAAAACCAGTCCTTTTGATAACCTGCAAAAGGGATAAATGCAACCCAACTACATAGAAAAAAACACACTATAAATTCATGATGTGACTTTCAAACCCCAAGCAAAATTCGCTACAGAAAAATAGCTTTGAAGATTCTTCTTGATTTACTGTTTTGGGGACAGGTTGAAAGGCTACAGAGTTATGTAGCTAAATTAAGATGTTACATAACCCTAAACCAATTCTTTCTCTAATACTACGATTTGTTCTTTTGCATTTGGCACAGTTGTAGTTTTTAATTGGAGCTGTTCTTTCGCTGAATTATGAAATTATCCCTCAAGTTTCATTTCTAACCTTTTAAGGGAGAATATCTGCTAGCAAATCATCCATAACCATTAATTAAATTAATGCTAAAAACATGAGAATGAGAACTGACATGAAGGCATAATTAGACTGATTTCAAACCTTGTGACGATAAGAACTGTTTTAAAAATATTTTTCAAAAACCCGAGAAATGCTGATTAAATTAAGTAAGTTCAAAGAACATTTGACTTCAGTTTCATTCTGTCATTGGGATATGTTCAATTTTAATATATGTGCTCAAACTTTTTAATGTTCAGAATTTTTACAGGAAAAAACTGTTACATTTAAAAGTTCTAATGTTTATCACCATCTGATGCTGTCATGGAAGCAATTGCTACTTACACTCTTTTAAGAAGTGAGAATTGCAATTCCTCTAACTGATGACAATGTAATTATTTCTATTCCTGTCAAAACAGAGGCGAATTCCCTTCCTTACACACCTGATTACACATGCAAATCCAGGCTTATCTGAAATCTTGTAAGTAAACTAAATGTCTGAATCTGAATGAGCAAGATCACATGAACAGTGAGCCTCGTGATGACAGGAACCAAGCCTACAGCCACTCACCCTAATACTTTTACTATCCCTGTCTCTTGTAGGAACTCAGTCCTCAGCACCCACACAGCTTTCAACACAGTGTCACATCATCTGCAACACACAGCAACAACCCTGACAAAAATAACTGGAGGAGAAAAGCAACAGTGAATCCGAATGTCTTGTTTGGAGATTTAAATGATTGCATTTACATGTACAAAAAACACTCTAGAAAAACACAAGCCTTTCTTCCCAAGAGCTACCCCACACTGAGAATGCAGGCCCCCTCAGTGAGGTCCTACCTGGTCTTTCAGCTGCTGCACTGAGGCCTGTAGACTCAGAATCTGACTGAAGAGAGGGCTCTGCAGCACTGACTTCAGAAGGCTTAGCTTGTCTTCATTTGCTACATCGCCTCGTTCTCGGAGCTTGGCTTGTAAGCGCTCTGCTGCCTGTAGGGCCCGATTTTTGTCTAGTCCAAAGAAGAGCACTAGTTAATAACAGTATTGAAAATATGCTAGTCAAACCTATGAGGACCCCATGCTTATAGAAATCCTAAAATTGTTCCTTTTGAGCCCACAAAATTTTCTCTTTTTACCTAAGTACAAAATTAAAGTACAAAAAATTTTAATGGAGTATAATAGTACCAGAAGTAGACAGTTGAGTACTTTGTGATACTTTAAATATCTTTCCTCAAAATTAAACAGCAAGTTAAACAGTGTTGTGACTTGTATCTAGATATCCCCCTAAAGCCTCACGCAGCCTTAAGTATGGTCTTTTCAGAGATGGCTGGATCTAGAGTATGTGACTGATTCATGAGGCAATGACAGCACTAAGGGTGCTAGGATTAAAGCTGTGAGTGCTATCTGCCCTAAAGGCAGGTAGCCTGGCCACAGTATAAGGGACAGAAAGAGGCTTGCTGCTAGTTGCTCGGCGCTTGTCTCTAGGATGTGTCGCTTGCTTGCTTCTGCTGCCTTCTGCCTGCCATGAACTGTTGCTCCTCTGCCATGCACCTCTCCCAAGGTATCCTGCTTAGTCCAACTATGGACGGAGACTTCTGCAGACTGTGAGCTAAACAGCCTCTCTTCCTTTAACTTTGGGTGTTGGGTATTTCCTCTCAGCAATGAGGAAAGCACCCAAGAGAAACAGTATGTATACAGACGCTGCAAATCAATCTAACTGGATGATTCACGTGGGGAGTCAACTATCAAAGTACCCTTCAAACTTTGAAGTATCTTGTGAGATTTTGCTTAAAAGCAGAGAACTGGGCACAACATACAACACATATGTAAATATTCTATTTAATTTGGGGGAAAGATATTTCAATGAATAAAATGGAACAGTTTTGAAAGAACATATATTATTCTGATACGCATCCAAGTAAATTGAAAATTATAGAATGCTCTGCTCCTTAATATATAAAACTGTTATATTTTAGATGTTGTGATTCATCAAATACAATATCCATAGCTACTTATTAATGAGTTAGACTGCTAATTTTTCTTATATATAAATAAAACTTTATGTGTCTTTTTAAGAAGGGAATATATTAAAAGCTTGTAAAGTCACAAACTTAATTCAGGTTATATATACTTTAACTCCTATGCCAGCTGTTTCAACTCTTTTACAAAAATTATACAAACCAAATGATCTGTGATCATGAAAATGCTGAATCACTATTTCTAAAATATAAGAATTTTATATATTAAGAAACAAAACATTCTATAATTGAGAATTTATAGAGAAATATATCAGAGTAACATATGCTCTTTCAAAATCATTTGATTTTATTCACTGAAATAGCTCCCTCTCCCTGTCTTAGTTACTTCTCTCTCTTTGCTGAGATAAAATACCTGTTGCCCAAAATTAATGACAGAAAGGTGTTATTCAGCTCATAGTTTGTAGAGGCTTCAGTCCATTTCAGCTGGCTCCAAGGCAGGGTGGTGTGGCAGAGGGCAACAGTTCATGGCAGCAGAAGTCAGCAAAAGAAACAAGAGCAAAAAGGGCGAAGCAGTGGAGAGAAGACTCTTTCTGTGCCTTATATTGTATGCAGACTACTCAACCTAGGGCAGTGTAGCACTCACACCCATAATCCCAGCACTAGACCAATCACAAATTCTAGATTTAGCCTCCTCCAAAAGTCACACCCCTATGACTGCATGAGGCTTTCAGGGCACATCCAGACACAAACCATAACACTCCCCAAATTAAATAATATATTTATATGTTTCAAATTAATCCAATTCAAGTAATTATTAAGCACCTTATATATCAGGCACTAAGTTGCCATGGTAAATATTTTGACTATGTCCTAATAGTCCTAATACCTTACTTGCATGTTTCTTGCAGTCATTACAAGAGATAACTTTCCACAGCTCCAACTCTGAAATTATGCAGAAATGGGGTAATTGAAATATGAATTTATCATAAATTCACATATATACACAGATTAAAATAAATATTTTCCCATGCAAAAATCTTACAGCAAGTATTGGTAAGACACAGATGAGAATTTTGTTCTGATGATATTTCCCATGATATCTCAGAATATAAATCTATTAGTAATTTTCATGGCAATTCATGAAAGATGTAAAACTCAGTAAAAGCTAATCGAATAAATAAAAGAAATGGCTCAAATTACTCTGCATTTCCTCTCCCCTCCTTCTTATGAGGGACTTCCCTGTGCAAGCTAATAGTCTTTATGACATCTGAATTCAGTATACAGGGGAGGAGGAAATGTACTGATATGTGTTTTTATGATCAGAACCCGGCACAAAAGTCACGTGATCACAAAAAGACTCCTTTTTCCTTTACTGCCACCTATTCTTCGTTTGCCCTCCATAACCAGCCAAGGAATCAAACATAACCATTAAGGTGCCAGAGTGAACTCACAGACACATTCCAACCTGCATATGCAACAACCTATCTGGACTAGATAAGGAGTTGGGCTGGCAGATGAGTGCAGGTCTGTATCACACCTCACATACCTGTAAGTAGTTTTCAAAGCTAATTTCTCTAAAACTAAACAACAGGGGAAATTAACACAATTAACACATGAGCTTGAGCTATTTGGATATTTCAACCTAAACTTATGTAGAAATTAAAATGCCTTAATGAAGTTTTCTAGCCTAAGTGCTTATCACTGATCTCTTATATTAATTAAAGCAAGAGCTCAGTGGTATTTCAACTGCCACAAATATAAGAGAAAAAAGGATGATCTTCTTTCAGTATCAAAAATGCTATTAAACTTCCTGGTGCCATCCAGAAAAATATATTATATTAACATGAACTAGGTCCAAAAATCAGAATTGAATGTATATTAAATTTTATTAAGACCCATAACTGAAGCACATATTATGTTTATCTTTGCTTACAAAGGATGTGTTTTTTATAATAGGAAAAATTCCCAAGTACAGAAATGCATTATTGCAATACAATGCTCATGGTTAAAACTCTAAATATGTTATTATAGGCAGAATCCTGCTGTGCAGAAAATACTATATTCAGATATCCCAGTGGAAGGAGTTTCAATTCTTACACAGAGAGAAAGAAAGTCATGAGGCAGTGAGACAGAAAGGGTGAGGAGCGTCTTACCTATGGTTTCCAACATTTTTTTCAAAGTTCAGTGTTTTCCTCTATCTTGATTAACAACACCAACTAAAGTGGAACCCTGGGAAGAAAAGAAATAAAATGAAACGTTTATGTTTTGTCAGAACTTTAGAACTATATTCTAAAACTATCCTACAAAGCATCTGTTAAAATTTTATTGGTTTAACCTAACATTGTTCTCTTTATAGACAAAAAATACTTTATAACTTATTCAAATGATATGTGCTCCCAATAATATTTGCATAACAAAGAAGGCATAAGTTCTGTTTAAATAAGATGGTAGATGCTTCCAAAATACTTCCTTAAGAGGCTCTCAACATAGAATATTGTGATCTCAGATTAATGTACAGATCCTTAACCGCGGAGTAAGGAGTGTACTTGAGAGTACGTAAGAAATTTGAAGGAAAAATGTTAAAAAGAAGCTACATTCTTGTCCTGAAATGTTTACAGCCTTAACTGGGGAAATAATATACACACACTCATTCGAAAAGAATGATGACATAAGCCAGTGTACTGACCACTGGAAGATAACACATTAAATCATGGATTAAAAATGGGATAAAAGAAAGTATAGCGTTAAATGTTTCAAAGGTTTTTAAAATACCCTCCCATTGACTGTAATCCTCCCATTCAAAGAAAACACTTCTCACTTTCTTCAATCCACGACGATCTCATCTTCCTCTAACAATGCTTACGGAGATTCTTTTCATGCAGCTCTGCAGTGCACACAGATCTGCAGTGCCAATGTCCACATCGCTGACCCTGTCCAGTCTGTGCTGGCCAACAGCTCTGTGCCGCTGTCTCCACAGCAGTATCTACCTTTGCCTCCCAGAAAATCCCGAAGTCACTGGGAAGCCAGCTGATCGTTCTAGTGAGGAACAGGAATGTATCCACACACAACCTCATTCCTCCACCAGAAGATGAGACAGGTAACTTCTGTGAGGAAAACAAACGGCTTGCCTAGACCCTCTTTGAAGGGAATACACATGGTGAGAAAAGAAGTGGGAGATGCGGACGGGCACATGTACAGAACATCAGTGCCTACAATCTGCTCTCTAATAAAAGAACAGTACTTATGAATTTCCTTATCCCAGTTAGAGGACACTACTGAAAACATCAGCTTCCTCCAGCCAAATGCCCAAATGCTGGCACGTGATTTTAAAAGTGCCTTGGTTTCAAGAAAAGAGGGTACTGGCTCTGACTTCTCACACACTACATCGTAGTGTGGGCTTGAGCAAGGGACCAATCACTTCAACTTCGTTTTCCCAGAATATATTCATCTGGAATCTTGTGATAAATGAGATAAAGAAATTATGCCAATGTACAGCTCACAGAATACCTCATAACTATAAAATATACATCTAAGACTAATGCTGAGCCCTTACCCAGATAGTCATCAAGAGTCGAATACAGACAGATCTTAAAAATAAACTCACAATATTTTTAATTCTTATTTAAGGATTATACAAGGATTATATTAATTCTTACTAAGGGTTACATAATACTCCGTAAAATAGCATAGTGGTGTCACCTGTGCATAATCCCAGCACGCTGGGAGGCTGAAGGATGAGGTTCACAGTCCAGGCAATTGTCTCAAAATAAAAATTAAAAACGAGGCTGGAGATGTCGCTCAGCATAAAGGCCCCGGGTTCATCCCCAGTACCACAAAAAATAAATAATTAAGTGAAATACGATACTACTAGGTACCTTCTTCAACAACTGCCTTCCAATAATAAAGAAATGAAGTAAGGGCCCCTAACACGAGACATCCGGGGTCTATTCATGTGCACCTGTCTAATTAAGCCGCCAGCGCGATGCATGGGAGCAATGGCCAAGCACGGCCCGAGGGTCTGACGGCCCAGCCACTACCTGCCTACAAGCCCTGCTCAGTTAACTGTATTTGCTGAACGCAAATCTTTTTACAAATGAATACCATTTACGAAGTATTTAAAGAAAAAGATTACATGTATTAGGGCTTGGTATGTACAATAAAATTTAGCATCATCCATTTTCCCCTATGAAAACTTCGTTCAGAAAGACAGGCAGCATTCAGGACAGGGAGAGGCAGCTGACGAGCTGAGAGGCTACTAATTTATGAAGGTGCAGAGGAATTAAAGCAGGCAGCCGCCAACTAGAAAAACACGCTGTCTAGAGCTCACCTATGAGTCAGTTACGGAGAAAGAGAATTACACCCCTTCCAAATAAAAACACCTATCGTATAGGTTTGAAACATAAAACCAATTCAGCTGCAAGGTATGGGCAGCAGCTCTTAAATAAAAGCACTACCACTGTGGATGCCAGTCACTCTTTTAAAGTATAGTTCCACTGTTTCTCTCTTATGTTCTCACGCCCATAAATAAAAACAGCTTTTGGAGGTTTCCAAGGAAATTTATCAGAGTAGTCATGGCAAAGGGATAAGAGTTTAAAAAAATTGTTCTGTTGTATGTACTTTACAAATCATTGCTAGGTCTGTCAAAGAAAGATAAGTACACATATGTTTAAACAAATCATTTTAAAAAATCCAAGTTTTTAAACCATCAAGAAAACACCTCTTTATAATAATATTCAAAGTACATTTGAAAATATGGCTAACAGTCTGGGAATATAGCTCAGAGGGAGAGCACTCGGACCGATCCCTGGGTTTGATTCACTACCAGCACCCAAAAACAAAAAAAAAAGGTTGGTACATTTCAAGGTACTAAATCCCTGGACACAAGCATTAACAATATTCCAATGGTATACACTAGCTCACCAGCTACTATTCATGTATTCTGCTCTTATATCACTATTTCGTTATAATTCACCCTGAAGTCTGTTTTAGTAACCATGTACACAGAAGCGTAAGAAACATCCATAAGGTCTCAATGCATTCTGAATCTATCAGGCATATATTACATCATGAGAGGAAGGACCCTGACCATCTTGTTCCCCACAGTGACTTCTAGTGCTTCCTATAACATTCTTTCCATCCTCCAGATAAGACAACAGAGGAAAGTTTAAAGTCCTACTCAAAGTCACCAAGTAGTAAGCAGGAGAAGCTGGAATTTGAAACAAATCATGCCCGATTTCAAAGACTACACTTTTCACACCAGCTGATATTTTCCAAACAGCCTTGAAAAAAAAAAAAAAAAAAAAAATCACATGGTTGAAATATATTGTCAAATTTGAAAAAAAAGGTGCAAAACAATGTATGAAGTTGTTACTTCTTGTATAAAATAAGAGAAAATGCTTGTGCAAGTAAAAATCAATAGGTGTATGTAAAGCATAAGCAGTATGTATGTAAGTAAAAAACTAACAGCATATGCTTATAAAGCATAAGAGGCACATGTTTATAAACTCTTTCTGCAAAGTTTTCAAAGACACTAATAGTGAACAGGATATGACAGAGCCAGAAAATGATGAAATTTACTTTCATTGCATTCTTTTTCAATATCTTAATACAGCTTAGCCAGATTTAGTAAATAAAAATACATTTGTCTAAATTTGATTTTCAAATTGTGCACAGGGGCGCACTCCTATAATTCCAGTCCTCAGGAGGCTGAGGCAGAAGGATAGCCGTGAGCTTGAAGCCAAACACAAGTACATAGTAAGACCCTGTCTCAAAAAAACTTTAAATTTTCAGATAAATGAATAATTTTTAATGTACATCTCCAAGAATATCTGAGTTATATTAAAATCTAATTTATGTGAAATTATTTATCTGAAATAATTTTATCTGAATAAAATTTTATCTGAATAAATTTATCTGAAAATTATCTGAAATTCAAGTTTAATGTGACATTACTTGTTATTTTATCTGGCAACCTTATTATGTATGTATTTGGCTAGAAAAGTAAAATTTAAAAAATCATTTTTAATTTAAAGTGTGTGTTCCTCCTGTCATTATGACCGAGTTGTCAAATCCTTAACAAACCTCTGAAGACTTCCCTGTGACCACAGGATTCCCCAATAACCAGTTGATGCCGCTAGTTTCAGGAGATAAATATCAAACAATATTTGGTGTTACTAAGAAACAGAAACTGACTAGTAATCACCTTACTTTCCAACAAGTTGTACTATATGTAGCCACAGCTTTTACGCAGTATAGAATCGGTACCTCCACAAAAATCCTTTGGCTCCATGCAGATTTCACAGCAACTAATAAATGAAAATGTATTTTGTTTTTGTTTTTTGTTTTTCTCCGGTACCGGGAACTGAACTCACGACCTTGCGCTTGCCAGGCAGGCGCTTTTGCCGCTGAGCTAAATCCCCAG